ACAAGCCTAAAGTCACTTATCTATTATCAGTTATAGTACTGGTTTATAGAAAAACATGTAATATCTTCTGTTATATAGGATCTTGAATAATTTTGTTTTCAGCAGCTTGATTTTAAGCTAACTTTGTTTGTTTGTTTGTTTTTATTCTTCTGTTCATCCTGACCTTTTTAAATAAATGCCTTCCTTTCCAGGCTAGGTGGACAAAAAGATACGCACCAGAGGCCATCCGCACTGCATAGCCACTTCATGGCTCAGGCTCCTCCATGGCTTGCTGTCTTTCTCTCTAGTAAACCCGCTTATTTATGCGGCTTGATCTGTTTTCCGCATGAGAATATTCATGCTTCCCACGGTCTTGAAGCTTAATCAGAAAACGGCACATTTTTATACCAGCTAGTTTGAAACTCCAAATGATAAATATCTGAAAATAGTGAGACAGGGTAAGACCCAAGATCCATCTCCTCCATGAACTCGTGGCCCACAGCAAATGCTTTGGGAGGAGCGTAGGAAGAGGGTGAGTCCGCAGTGCCGCTGCTGCAGACCGCTCTCCCTGCCTCCAACTGTTTGCAGCTCGGGGACTTCCTCAGTTGAAGGTGACATAAGCTCTTATCTTCCGCTGCTTCTGCTGCTCCTTTGGTTAGCTGCATTTGGCTATATTAAAATGCATAGTATGCAAATGAGCCCAGTTTGATAAGCAACTGTGTTAAGCCCTTATAAATTATTCTTATTTGCCATGTCAGTGTTTGTGTCTTCTATAAATTTTATGAGGTAAATTTTTGTGTATCATCTGGTTTCTACCTAATTAAGTAAAAAATAGATTGCTGTATAACTGCAGTGGGAACATTTTACTGAATAATCCTCATTGATAGATATCTGCAATTTCTCCGTTAATGAGCTCTTAATCTATTCATTGAGGGGCTTCATTGCTTTTCATAGTGAAATGGTGACTAAAAGCAAGTGTGTTTAAATTGAATGCTTCATAGAGGCAAATTACACTCTGCTGACACTCCTGTCTTGACCACCTAGGCCTATATATATTGTAATCCTACTAAAATCTATTGATTAATGAGATTTATTTTGCATAATTACACAACTATTTTTTAATTTGTTATTGACTGCCTTATATCCCTGTTTCTATGAATTTGCCTGGTATGTACATTATGACAAACAGGCTATTGCTATCTGAATCGTTTGCGTGCTCTTTGTTTGAACAAGAACATCGTGGTTACTCTGGAACTTGCACAGCTCTGAGATGGGTTAGCAGGAATAGAATGGTTCAAATTGCTCCTGGGCACAAAGATCCCCTGTCTGAAATGTAAAACTCACAGTCCAAGCAGCTGCAGGTTAATGTCCTCTCTAGCCACTAATGGAAAAGAGAATAATTAGTTATCAGTGCTTTTGTCTGAATGCAGATCAAAATATTTATTGAACACTTTTTCTGCATCATTAAAGAAAATCACATCCTTATAAGCTAATAGCAGATTTATGCTATTTCGAGATTGTCTTTTGTTCTTGACATATTTAAGGAGTAGTTTTTATTCTTTAATAATTTACAGAATAAGCTTTTATTGTCCTTAAACCTATTGACTGTTACTGTTTGTTTGTGCCTTTTGTTCACCGTTTTGTGTGCGTTTCCTTGCCGATGGCTTGTATTCATTATTGTCGCATCTCAAGGTTTTCTTGGTTTTACTCCCAACTTCTCTGTAAACAGACCACTGTCAAAGTAGTTGTTTGCATGGCTGTAGGGCTTAGCTACCCAGTAAGGCATTCGTAACTTAAACTCATTATTCGCATTTTTGTGTTTGTTTTTTTTTTCTTCCCACTTAGAGTGAGGTTGGATCTGAGTTTTGCTGGTTCTTGTATTAGAAAGGAGATGGAGACTATCCTTAGTATTCTTTAACCAGTGACTTTGGTGTTGCCTCTCATTCACACTTTTTTAGACTTGCATATTAGTTAGTGGTTTTGTACAACTGGAACAAGTTAAGCGCATAGGATAATATGCAACTGCAGAATGTCATCAGCACTGACAAGTCACTCAATTTGGCAAAGTTTTCTTTCTGTCCCTGTCTTTCTAGTTCTGAAAAATATATGTCATCTTGCATTGAACAAAACGTACATCACCGTTAGCAACTAGCTCTGACAGTTGATAAGTTCTGTTTTATTGAGCAATAAGTTAATGTGATATCCGCTGCTAGAACTAACAGTTTTCACTCACGCACACTGAATTATGGTGTAATCCCTTAGGCTAGGCTCTCTGTCAGTTCACTTGCTGCTTAAATGAAGATGTGATTTTGCCATAGCAACCAGTTAGACCATTATACTGAATTCTTCAGTTATTCAGCCTCATCACAGCTAAGTGTAACTGGTGTAGGCTGTAAGAGAGGCGGGCAGTTTACACTGTATGTCAAACATTGCACAGAGAACTGGACATAAATCATATGAATATTGCTAAGCAGAGATTAATTAAGACACCACAATTATGAAGAAATGAAATTCATTCAGTTGATAAAGTGCATAGCTGATGAAGGATCCACTTTACTAAAGCAGTTTAAAATAAGCATAGTCCTATACAGTGTCAAGAATGAGAGAATTCATTCAAATTTAGGAAAACTCAAGGCTTATTTTTCTTTCTGAAACCAATGCAAATGAAAGACCCAGCTCTTCTAGATTTCTGACTGCTGGATGGGTTTTGTTTCCTTGTTTGAGAAAGCACTGCGGGCTCACAGAGTTCAACAGTGTGAAGCCTCATCACAAAACATACAGACAGATAAATATTTTCCCAGATTCAGGGAAGTAATTTAGTAAACTCTCCTGTAAATTGTAAAGCTCCAGAAGAGACACTGATTAAAGTGGTATCTGGCAGTTTTTCATTTTCCAATGAAATTATATCAGGTTACTAGTCACAGCAAGATACCTACGCATATATACGTGATGTGTATATATGTAACATTTTCACCAATTCTGAAATGTTAGCCTCGGTTTTGAAATCCAGTCTGTGATCAGTCCATTTTGCCTTCACTGAGAAACATCCTAGAAATACAGAGTTCTTTTCTGATGATACTTCAATCAAATAGAAATGCATTTCTTGCTCTTTTCAAGACTTACAGAAATTCTTACTCGAAAGTGCTGGAGGCTGTAGGAAATATAGTGGCTTGACTCCTTGGTGAATATAAAAGAGTTATTTGTCTCAGCTGAACATACCACACAAGTTACAGGAACGCATACTGGCCTGGGTTCTGACCAGAGCCCAATTATGTAAATCCAGGGTTGCTTCAAACTTTTACTAAGCCTGATGGGGATTTACACAGCTGTAGGAAGAAAGAATTTATTCTAGTTCATACTGAGAAGGTATGTGCAGTTATACAAACGCTTTTCTGGGCACAGGTAGACTTGTATGGTTACATACTGCTGTTATTACCAAGACCAAGACACATTTTTAAAGCGTTTTCTATAACCTTAGAAACAGCACCGAGTGCTCTGTGCAGATATGTTTAGATTTAGCGAAGAGAAGATTGTAGGCAGTATCTTTGTTCACGATGAAGGAAGAAGAATTTTTAGACAGGAAAATGCTGGCTCTTGCGCTTAAGATATATGCATTGAAGGGAAATGGGGGGGGGAACAAACGTCGTATTCAAGGCCTGAGGATGAGTGCACGTGAACACGTCGCCTCTAAACCTTTGAGCCAAACTACAAGGTGTTCGCTCTGGGCTCGGGGCTGAGTGGTTTCCTCTGTCTCGTGCACGTGAAGCACAGGAAAGACACAAGAGCTGACAGCACACTCCTCCTGTTTGCTTCTCGCTGCTTCTCCGCTTACTGTTTCACAGAAACGGTCAAATTTTCTTAAAGATTCTGGGGAAGTCTCTCAAAACACCACCAGCTGAGCCTTATGCATGCAGAGATATATCGTGGGGCTGCTGGCTGAAAGGGTGGATATTTGAAAGGAAACGTACAAAAAGAGGTGGGGGAGAAACACGGCCTGACCACAGGCTCTGTTCATGTTCCTAAGGGATCCGTGGTCTCCCAGGGCACTGCAACAAGAACCACCTCTCTTCCCACGCACACAGGACCTAGGAACCGAGGAGCCCTAATCTTTCCTTTCCTTCCTTGTGCAAGCCGTTGCCTGCAGCACTGACAGCACCACTGAGCTGTTCTAACAAATCCCGTTTGGCACAGCTGTGTGACACGTGAAGCACAGCCACCTCCATGCATAGCATTCCCAGCATCTCCAGCCAGCTCTGGGAATCAAAGCTGGTGTTTGGCTGAAAATACTTTCTGTTGGAGTTCCTGACATTATAGATTTTTTAAGGCTTGCAGCACTCCCCTGTTCTTGAACAGTATGAGATACTGCTGGGCAACCTTACTGCTGCATTCATTGAGGCTTTTGTCAGTGCAGAGAGCTAACAGGAGGTGTTGGATACTCTGAAGGACAAAGGTCAGTTCTCCCCCATCCACAAAGTAAAATTTATGTATGTGCAATATTTTCTTGCTGCATCATGCTGGCCTTTTTTGGATAGGACAGCTACTTGTCTCGTACTGGGTATCAAGGAGTGGGGACTGTGTTCTGCTCAGGGTGTTTGGGTATGATCACCTGGCCGCTGCAGAAGCAGGAGTAGGAGTTCAAAGTCTTGCTATCCACCAGCTGCTGGAGGTCACTTCTCTGCTGGAGACTGATGCCACGCACCTGAGCCATACTGAGGGACCATGCGACATATCACACAGCTCATCCATGGGCTAGGCATGGCTATGCTATTAACATTTTTAACTGCTCCAGTTGCATCTGTAAGAGTATATCTGACATGCATTTTCTTTTGTAGAACCATTTTGTTTTCTGACTGTATGCATTTTCCCTTGTCTTTGTGTGGGTTTATCTTAGAGTGTGGACAACGATTGCTTTGGAGAAGGCTGTAGAAGTCTAATTCATTACTGTCTGCTATGTCTCAGGTTGCTTTCAAGTGAATGGGAAAGGGAGAGTCTCACTCATTGCTATTATTTGTTAATTTTTCCTGTTCAGATGCAGACGGATAACTGGACATCTAATACCCATGTTCAGAAGCCATGAATTCCAGAAAATTACTCTCAGAAACACGGAGAACATTTCCTGCTACCAAAGTACACTGCCAGCAGCCATCGCGGATTCTCATTGTGGATGTCACATCACCTTCCTGGACCAACACTTGTTCTGTACTCTCTGAAGCTCTGGAAAACACACTCTGCTTGGCATGCAGTTTGACAGGCCCCTGCCGCGTTCCCCTGCTGAGCCTCTACGTGGTGCAGAACCAGCAGGAGTGTCTGCTTCCCTTTACGGTATGTGTGAAATTATCTCTTGGGATCTAACATGAATGCAATGCATTGTTGCAGTTCGGTAAAGAAAGATCTGATCATGGAACTTATGACAAATGTATATCTAAAAATTAATCATTCTCAAAGAGCATAGTTTCATAGACTTCGTGGAAGAGCTGAATTTTATGAAAGAATGATGTTTAAAAGGAGGAGTGTCATATTTTTGATCTGTGAAGTTGCTCATGTGCATAAATTAAGTTTTATGCGGTTCCCTTCTAAAACATCTGTTGTACCTCTCCCTTTCATATGCTTTCTGCACTATCTATACTGCTTCTCTATCAAAATTATCAAACACAACTCTACAGCTGTAATAATTTGGATGGTGAAATGGTCTGTGCACCTGTTGATTACACAAATATTACCACTTTGGGAGAGGTTCCAGACACTTAAGGGGAAAGGATCAGAATTCAAAATATTTTTGCCAAATTTGAGAAATATCCTGAAATCATAGAATCATTTAGGTTGGAAAAGACCTTTAAGATCATCGGGTCCAACTGTAAACCTAACACTGCCAAGTCAATCACTAAACCATGTCCCTAAGCACCACATCTACATGTCTTTTAAATACGTAGATCTAAGTCAGTAAGAACAAGTATTTCACTCATCTAGGGATATGCAGCAGAATAAATATAGATGGGGAATGACTAGCAGCTCTACAATAAAAGTGTGGGATTACAAAGCATCATACTGTTCACAAGAATCTATCTATCGTAAACAGTCTCACTGAGCACGCTCATTTACACTACATTAGTGTAAACACACAGTATTAACCCTTCCACTTTATTCAGCAATAGTGAAAACATTCTGAAATATTTTGTCAAGTTTTCACATCTCAGGAAAGGTAGAGGCCAACTGAGAAAAAAAAAATCAGAGGTCAACAGTAATTTAGCAAACGTGATCTGCAAGAAGACTGTGGCTAATGGTGGTGGTTATTTTGTAGAATAGGTTATAGATAGTGTGACAAAGATAACTAAGGGGATACCAAAGAAACATTTTCTGGAGATATTGTGAAATCACTCTTATTAGGGGCTTTAAGAACAGACACTTGTCTTGCTTCCTAGGATAAATTTACATGTAATTCATCCTGGCATGTCACTGTAGGATGGACTAGGGAATCTGTTTCACAACTGGTTCCAGGCCCGTTTTCTGTGATTTTGCATTATGTCCAAGTTGATTTGTAAGTGTCTGGGGCCAAGTACCTGCTTTTGTATTTCCTAGGTATGTCCTGACACTGATCCAACATGTGCTGGCTGACAGCAACCTCAGATCTCATTTGCTAATCATGGGTCACCAGAGCACAACTGCACTTTGACACAATCCCTCTGCTTGCCCCATCATATGAATCTTCTGCTAATGATAGGCTGTCTTTTTTATTTAAACAACAATTCCTCATTTTGATAATCACAGTTTTTAAAGACAGAGAAACCCTTAGATCGTTGTTCGGCTTTCTTCATATTACAGGCTATTATATTTCAGTAAAGTACCCATGTGTCATTAAAGCACTTCCTCCAGAAAGACATCTAGTTTTGATCTGAAGATATTACAAGATGGAGAATCAAGTACTTCTGTTGATAATTTCTTCAGTGGTTAATCATTGTTGTTGTGAAACTTGCACCTGGTTTCTAATTTGCATGTATTGGCTTTAGCTTCCAGGGATTTGTTAATATATTTTCTCTTTTGGCTGGATTGAAGAACCTGTTTGTATTTATACTTTCTTCCTCTAAGTATAAGCAGGTCCCTTCTCAATCTTCTAGCTGCTAAATGAAAGAGAACCAAGTATAGGTCTAACTGCAAGGCATTTTTACAGGCCCTTAATAACTTTCAAGCCCTTCTATGTATTCACTCTTCTGGTTTTTCGGATGCTACATTCCAATACTGGTAATAACAATTTTGCCATAATATTGTGTTTCTCTGGGTCTTGTCCAAGACAGCAAAATTCACACTCAAAGACTGGAGCCAGTAGTGCATACCCGGTTGATAGGCACAACTCTCACGTGAGTCCCCGCTCCCCTTCTCCCCAGCTTTGCTTGGATGTTCTGCCTAGCGAGCCGTCTCTTTATTTTAGACATCTGCTGTTGTAGTCAAGGCTGGTTTTCTGAACTGTTCTTCCTCTATTGGGAACAGTAACATATAGCAAGATGACTATCTTCTTCAATGGACCTAATTTCACTAATAATGATATCTGGTCCTCTGCAGCTTCTGGAATCAGGAGCAGTTTTACATCTCTCTCTGATAAACCTCTGTTCTGTTTCAGCCTTCTTCAGAAATACCAGGGCTCCATTGCTTTTTCTGTACTCCTGAATTCGCCCCTTTGTCTCAACAAGGCATGCTGTTTATCACATTGACTTTCTGATCTAGCTAGACAAAAACTTGATACTTCTCAGTGAGGAACGAAGATAGAGCTATATTAAAGGTTGCTTATTAGACAAATCATATGAAGTCAGGAAAGCCCCAGAGCTGAAAATAGAGACTGGGAGAGTACATGGGGAAGTGTCATATACAGTTACTCTTTTCTTAGTTTTTCCTGGGCACTTGTCTATGGTCTCTGTTCCTACTGGTCTCCCCTGTTGGCCTAACTCTAACAAGTCCGAAGAGCTTCCCTGGAAAGGGCAGGGGGATGCCAAAGAAAACAGGAAGAAAGTAAATAACCGTGGAGGACACCAGATGGTGACAAGAGGGGAAGTGAGCATTAAAGCGTCAAAAAATGTTAATGTGGGACTGAGTAAGGACTCTGAGCAGAGCATCTCCAGCTGATGGGCCCTGTTCCTACTGGTTTTCCCTTGGGATGGGCAGCCATCCCCCACAATTCCCAGTCCCTCCCTGACAAAAAGGGCTGAAAAAGAAACAAGGGGGAAAGACATTAACTACAGGGACTAGCAAATTAAGAAAGAGAAGTGGGTGAGGGTACAAAACGTGGAAGGAGCCAGATGGGGTGGTGAGCACAGTGCCTACCCTGGCTCGTGGCCAGCTTTGATCTCTCATTTTGGTAGCTTTTCTCTGGAAGGAATGTAGTGTTGCAGATTAAAATGTTTTGCTGGATGCATAGTGTGAAGTTATGAATTCTTGGAGTTGTGTAATGAAGGGGCAGGGTCACATGTGAAGAGACATGTCAAGGCCCATGGCACTGGGCTGGGTGTCAGTGCCCAGAAGAGGGGTCAGAAATAGTTAAACACCACAATATGGGCTTAGAAGTTTAACTTCTGTCCCAAGCACATTCCAGAGTTGAAACTGCAGCTTGCGTAGACTCACCTACGTTAACACCTGAAGTAGCTGTGCATGTACTGTGCATACACTCTT